GTCACCGGTGACTCACGGCAGCCCAGCTCCAGGTTGAGCTGTTGTTCAGCATCTTAGCTGTGGAGGGCAGTGTCACTGGCCCTCATATGTGGGGTCCTCTGGCGTCCCAAGCCAGTTCTTAACCATCACGCCACTCGGCCGGCCCAATATACAATTTTTAAGTGAAAACAATTTTACCAAATAATTTTTTTTTTTCAAAAATCTTGAGCTAGTACTTTTTTTTTTTTAAGGTTTTATTGGGGAAGGGGAACAGCCAAGTTGTTGTCCTTCAATCTTAGTTGTGGAGGGTGCAGTTCACTCAGCTCCCAAGTCCAGTTACCATCCGGCCACCCATCGCTTAAGGTGCTGTGTTCAATCTTATCAATCTTAGTTGCGAGTGGGCATACCCCACCATCCCATGTGGGAGTCGAACCAGTATTGTATAGGAGCACGTGCTCTTACCAGCTGAGCCATCCTGCTGCCTGTTGGCAGCTCAGCTCGAGCGCAGCTCATTAGCTAATGTGGGAATCGAACCGGTGACCCTGTTGCTCAGAATTCGCGCTCTTAACCAACTGAGCCACTTGGCTAGCCCCTGTCAGTCCTTATTTAAATGTAAGTGAGTAAAACTTAATTTTTCAATAAAATATGAATGGAAGATCTATTACTTTCCATACCAATGTGGATCATTATAGGGGTATCTCACTTTGAGATAACTGGTATAAAGGGCTTTAAGAATTAAGACTATGGGGCTGGCTGAGTGGCTCAGTTTAAGAGCACGAGCTCTGAGCAAGAGGGTCAACAGTTCAATTCCCACATGGGCTAGTGAGCTGCGCCCGAGCTGAGCTGCCACTGAGCTGCCGATGGGCGGCTGGATGGCAACTGGACTTAGAGCTGAGCTAGCTGTCCACAACTAAGACTGAAGGACAACAACTTGGCTGCTCCCCTTCCCCAATTCCCCAACACTGTTCTCCTTCCCCAATTCCCCAAAAAATCTTAAAAAAAAAAAAAAGAATTTATTAAGACTAATGTAGAGAACACTGAAATTTTTTTTTTCAATCAACTTGGAAATAAACCCACAGATCTCTAAATTTCCTTTTTCACTTTGTGTCTGGGTTTTACCCCATTTAAAAATAGCCTATATAAAATTATTACTGTGACACAATCTATTAAAATGTTTTTGTTCAATGTAAAACAAGAATAAACTGTAGATTCTTAAAGTTCTTTTATTAGCCCAAGCATAAAATATTTCTAATCATAACTAAGAACTTTTGCTTTCTGTTCATGCGTATTTTTAAACTAATATTTCCATTTTACTTAAAATGCCTATGTAAAGTGATTTTTTAATATTCCTTTTACTTGTTTGAATCAAGGCTGTATTTGTAACATTCTCTGTTGTTCTGGTTTGCACCTTGTTGCTTTAAACTGGTTTTCAACTTAATAGCTGCATGAGCTCTTTTTCTAACTAGTTTAGTACCAGAGATGTACTTATTCACTTTTTCTTTTCTACTGCAGATGAAGTAGGGGAAAATAATGACCATGATATAACTGCTACTGAATTAGACCCCTTTCTGACAAATTCACCTGAAAGTGAGAAGTTTGCTTCTGAGTCAAGTAGAAGCCTAACTGAAGAGCAACAACGAAGAATTGAGAGAAATAAACAACTGGCCTTGGAAAGAAGGCAGGCAAAGCTACTGAGTAATAGTCAGTCCCCAGGAAATGGTAAATTTTATGCCGGTTTTTATGTGCTACCATTAATATAGCAAGGGCATGTTAGAAATTTTAACTTCTCTACTATCTCCCAAAATAAAATATCTCTAGGGATAGAAAAATGATATAATATATTAAGTTTATGTACCTTTGAGAGAGTGGGAGAAAGTGAATGTGTGTGTGTGTGTGTGAGATTTGGAATCCTCAAAGAATAAATGAGTCTAAAATGGTTTTTGGAATAGCTGAGTATCTCTTAAAAAATTATTTTAACCATTTAAAACTGATTTTGAATCTTTCCTGACTGTTCTTCCCTGACTACTTAAAGCACATGACACAGTTTTATCCTTAGGATCATAATTATGAACATTGATTATTGTGGTACTTTCCTAAACAAAATGCCTTTTGCACCGATTGAGGATTTTAGAGCCATTTGCTATGACATGAATAGCTCCTAAAATTATTTTTTTGATTGCATTATGTCACTTTTGTTGTGAGCTATCAGTTTATATTACATTCCCTTCTCTCTGTTAAAACTGCCTTAAAATTTTTTGTTTAAGATAGACTGGGTTTAGAAACTAGACAGCCAAGTTGGTTAAAACCGTATGTAAAAGTAATTACAAATTGGTTTTGAATGAAACAGGATGGCATATGCCATACCCAATTTCCAATTCAGTTTTTCCTTTTGAAATGGGAAAATAAGAATTATAGTCAGTAGTGAAGATACCATGTTATAGAACAACTTTTGCCCAAGGTAATAAAATTCTTAAGTGAAAATTATTGTGTGACTACATTAAGTAAACCTAACTTCTAAATTTACAAATGGATGTTTTATTACTAGCATGTGAAAAATTACATGAAGATACTACTATTGTTGATAACAGCGTCTTCCTTATTCTCGTTGTCAAAGTATACCTGGCATTAAGGATTTTAAGGCTCATCTTCTATTTATAATATACAACTTTAAAATTTGCCCAAGTAGAAATAAGTATCTTAAATTTTCTTTACAATAGATCGCTTTGACATACAGCTCTTAAGAGCATTTTTTAAAACTTCTGTGTAGTAGTTGTGAATTTGAATGAGAATCACATTTGGCAATGATTTGAGAATTTGAGTTCGTTACCTTTCAAAACTTGCATTTTTGAATGGACTTTATACATGTATAAACATGGCTTTATTTGGAAGAAAATGATCATAGGTAACACTACAGTGATAATAAATATCATTTCTATTGACCTACGCTTGTGAAGAGATTTGCATTTATCAGGTAAGATTGGATCAGGTGCTTATAATGAGTAATAATGGTGATTTCTTTCAGACTTGTTAACAAACACACCCCGGGCACAGATAATTGAAGATGCTAATATGGATGAGGATCAAAAAGAGGAGTCAGACAGATTCAACAAAGACATTCTAGACAATCCACAGAATGCTGCTGCTGCCAATACTGTAAATGAAGAGCAGGAATTAAAAATGGAGAAAGCACAACTGGACCAATCCTTTGAAAATGTATAGCAGTATCTTTATGCTTCATCCAGAAATGTTACTGAGGTTGGACAGACCTCAGCTAAGAGGAAATCTGTTAACTTGGTATCCTCCAAGTTTGAGATTACTGTGTATTTTGTCTACTTTGAAATCCTTATGTAGTAAAACCTTTACAGATTCCTGTTTAAAATCTGGTGTTTATAATTATAATTGTGTCTTACTAACTTTAGTCAAGTCTGTTCTCTTTAGTGTTTATTTTTATATACATATGACTGCATAACAATTATTACTAGTTAATAAGCCACTTCTGCTGCTGGTGTGCCATTAAATACCTTGTTTTCACTAAATTGGGTGGTATTTTAAGATGTAAATATATAATGAATTTATATCCATTTAAAAAATAAAAATCTAGGGCCGGCCGAGTGGCTCAGTTGGTTAAGAGCTCGCTCAAGAGTTTGAGCTCTGAGGAACAGCGGTTCGAGTACAGCCTGAGCTGAGCAGCCGCTGAGCTGCCAACAGGTGGCAGGATGGCTCAGCTAAAAAAAATAAAAAATCTTACAAACTATCTCTAGAGGCTTTATGAAAGTTTCTCATTGCTATTTAGTTCTGCTTTTACATTTTTGTAAAATGTTTAAGATTTTTATATATATTGACATGTATTTGGGGTCACTTTAATACTTAAAGGGTCACGTGAAAGGTTGCCTGACCTGAATAGGTGCTAGAGAGGTTCGCATGCTCTTTGGTACCTATTGACTAATTGGAGAGAAACTTACAAAGTACTATGAGGAACATAGAGCATCTAGGGGGGATTCACAGACACTTTGAGTTAATGGAGATTCCAAGAATTGGGATGTACATGTACAATGATACAGAAAGGAAAATTTGGGAAATAAGATTTGGGAATGGTGACTATGAGGCTAGAAGTGCTAGGGTCAGATAGTGAGAAGACCTGATTGAAATTTTACCTGTCTGTTTATCAACTTAGAAGGGTAATTACAGATAAGGAAGTAGCACATTGACAACCAAGCTTAAAGAAGTTCTGTCTAGTTCTTGGCAGAGTCAAGAGGGAAAGGCAAAACTAGTTTTTACAAACTAGGAGATGGGAAAATGGCTTTTTGTGAGAAAGACTGGCAGAATGATGGTGCTGAAGTGGCTTCTATCTGTGAAGCTGGGGTAGGCATCTTGCTCTCTTCAGGCTTGTTGACTTCAGGTGGTGATGGAGTGACAAGGATGGTTTGGTTGAAAGGCCAGGAAGTTGAGTACAAGGATATAGGGGGTATAGGGGTGGTGCCTGTAGGCTTGGTGAGGAGGCACAGTGAGGGGCTCAGAGGTGTAAGCCTCAGGATTGCAGATTATTGCTAATAAGGGATCAGCTAGGAGATGAGTCCAGTCTCTTGAGGTGCAACCAATGCCTAGCGAAACTGCTTTCTCAGGAGGACCATGTTCTGGCCTCTATCCACCCTCACCAACTAGACTAGAGATGACGAAGAGAGTTCTTTTCCCAGTGGTAGAATTTGCTGCAATGTGACAAGTCTCCAACAAGGGCAAGACCACTGCAACTCATCATCCAGGGAATACTCAGGAAAATGAGGGTGGAAAGGGAGGTTTGAGAACAGACCTTACCTGCGCACCCCACCTCACTCCCCATGCCCTATCACCAACGTGCTGGGAACAGCAGGGGAGGTTAGAGTCAAACATGAAACAGTGGATAGGTAGGACTAAGTCTTGCTGTCTAAGTGACTGAAAAGTTACTCTGACTTGTCAGAGGGGGCCTGTGACCCAAATGACCCAATGTAGCAATTGGAAAAATTAAAACTTTGAAAGAGCTGATTTGAGACAAACTAACCCAATATCAATTCTGGATTTATTAAAAATCAACAGGCAACTTGACTTGCAGGGCCACCATTCACTATTCATTTCTGAAAAATCAGTTTCTATAGTGACCTAATTGTATTTTACTTAATGTAACTTGAACGACGAGAAAACATTTTACACATAGTATCCTCCTTATCTGCAGGGGATATGTTCCAAGACCCCCAGTGGATGCCCAAAACCGCAGATAGTACCAAACCCTATATATACTGTTTTTTCCTATATATACAGACCTACAATAAAGTTTATAAGTTGGAATGGTAAGAAATTAGCAATAATAATAAAATAGAACAATTATAACAATATACTGTAACAATAAAAGTTACATGAATGTAGTCTCAGCAATCTAGCACGCATTTCTTTTTCCTTCACAATTTCATGGATAGAAGATTCATTCTTACCATAGATCTTTGCAACCTGGGCATGATTTTTTTCCTTTCCTTATTAAATTGAGAACTGTCCCTTTTCACTTAAAGGAAGCACTTTATGGCTTCTCTGGCACATCTGAATCACCAGCATCACTACTCTTGTGCTTTGGGCCATTATAAAGTAAAGTTTACTTGAACACAAACACTGCAATCCTGTGAAAGTCAACCTGATAACCGAGATGGCTAAGTGACTAACGGGTGGGTAGTGAATACCCACTGGTATGCTGCGGAGACACTGGACGGTGAGAAATTTCATCACAATACTCAGAATGGCATGCGATTTAAAACTTAGGAATTGTTAATTTCTGGAATTTTCTACTTAATATTTTCGGACCATGGTTGACTGTGGGTAACTGAAAACATAGCGAAATCATAGATACGGGGTAACTATGGTATATGAAATATCTACCCAATCCCAATTGACTAGAACATTGGGTGACACAGAAAATTAGATTAGCATTAATGTTGAAAAAAAGGTAAAACATTCACACAAGACAAAGCTCTTTTAATGAAGTAAGAAGAGTATTTCATATTCCATGACTGTCTGAAACATCCAGGAGAGCTAGGTCCCGTATCTCCTCTAGAAGAGTGTACAGGCTTCTTCCCTTAGTTTGGCAATATTTTTGATAATCTTCCTGAATGACATTTACTTTGACTTCTTGGGCAAGCTGAGCTTCCTCCACAGATCTAGTTACTTCTTTCACTAAATCACTCTTTAGCAAGAGGGAACTCTGATGAAAAAGTTCTGTATCTGGTGTCATGTATGGTTTGTTGCTTATTATTTCAAGCCTGATTGTATCAGAATGGCAACGTGAGGCCTGTACAGATATTCTCACCTATCACAGAGGAGAAAATGCATGTTATTAAATCACATTCTTTGTTCTTTACATTGAAAGCAATACTTGATGTAAATACAGTCTTACCGTTATGTGGTCAAACAAATGGAAAGTAACCGATTCCCCTCCTGTTGTGGTTGAGGTGATTTTGTTTTGAAATCGCTGAAGGGATCCTGGTTTCCATTCAGAACGGCTATCTGGGCCACATGAAATCACCAAACCATCTTTATTTTTTAGATAAGCAGCACCTTTAATCCCAAACCTGAATCATTGCCAGAATAAAAATCCAGAGATAATGTATTCTTAGTACCCAGACCTTGTATACTTATCTAGAATGCTAGTTTTTCTTCTAGATTAAAAACTTTTCCTGTGATTTACCTCCAAATATTACTTCATTGGTCAGATACAAACAAAATAACTTGCTAAATAAGAAAGTAAAATCCTATCCTAAGACTGATACAGATATACTAGATTCTAATCTCTTTTATACTTACATAATGAATTATATATGGTAACTACAAATAATTACTCAAATATTTTAATAAATTACACCTAATGTACTGTTTGTGTTCTACACTTTTAGTTTGACTATGATTTCTTAACAACTATTATGTTAGACAGTAACATACCTTGGTATAAATACAAGCACACCATTTGTTCTCACTGAATAAATAATGCCATCAGAGATGCAACGGTCCTCAGTTTCTTGGTCTTTGTCTTTAAAATACATGCACTGGAAAAGCTCAGTAGACTGCTTCTGAGAATGCTGTGCTGCCTGTTAGAAGAAGCATGGCCCTAAAGCATGATGACAGACTTCCCTGATATTCCCAGAAGAAACATGGAATTCATAGTCCCAAAGAAACAATGTCTTTAAATTAAAGGCTAGATTCTATAAAACTATGAATACATATATTCTTCTCTAGTATGAATTAAATCAATTTTCCTGGGAACCAAACCATCCGGTATCGTTCTCTCAAAAATGTCTTAGAAAATTAATTCTTTAAGAAAGCTACCAGTTTGTTATTTAGAACCTGTGTCTAGTTCATTCAGGTAGAGAAAAAGTATCCATATTTATGTCTACCTTTATTTTCAAGTCTGTCCTACCAAAATCCTGTTGGTGGAAGTATAAATTGGTATTACCCTTCTGGAGGACAATTTCGTAATATGTATCAAAGTTCCATCTGTATGCACCTTTTGACTCAGCGATTCATTAATACCAGGAATTTATTGAGGCAATAATCTGAGAAGTCTGTAAAAGTGTATACATAAGGATAGTTATAAACTGAATTGCCTGCAATAGCGCTGCCCAGCAGAACCTTCTGCAATGATGAAAATGTTGTATATTTGTGCTGCCCAATAGGTAGCCACTAGTCGCACGTGTCTATTGAGCCTGTAAAATGTGGCTAGTGTGACTGAAGAACTGAATTTTTTTTTTTTTTTTTTTTTTTTTTTTTTTNTTTTTAGCTGAGCCATCCTGCTACCTGTTGGCAGCTCAGCGGCTGCTCAGCTCGGGCTGGACCTGAACCGCTGTTGCTCAGAGCTCAAACTCCTGAGCGAGCTCTTAACCAACTGAGCCACTCGGCCGGCCCTATTGAATTTTTAATTAAAAAAATTTTTAATTTAAATAGCCAACGTGGCTGGTGACTATAATATTGCACAGCACGGAATTAGAAAACTGGATATAGAAAATTATATTAAACATTTAGATAGTTTCTTTCTGTATCACCAAATGGTCTAGTTCTATGCTGTGCAATAATATAGCTACTGGCAACAATATGAAATACAACACAGAGCAGGTTCTAAAACGATGATGTGACTATACTGACATGGTGTGCTATCAATAACAGAGATGTGTTAAAAAGGCAGATTTCAAAATAACAAGGATGGGATGATATTTTTATAAATAAAAAGCATTGTCTAGAATTGTTACTAATGGTTATCTCTGGGTGGTACGATGACAGATGATCTACATTTTTACAATTTGGGAAAAACATCTAACCTATTGTTAAATCTCCTAAATCCACATTAAGCTACTTCAGAACATTTGTAAATGTATTGGGAGCTACTCAACAAACTTCATAATTTTTCATGTT